CTTTTTGTAGATTGGAGTAAGTAGTCCAGATTTCAGCATTGCCGGTACTTTCTTTTTCTCTAGCATACTGTTGATAAGAGTTTTTAGGTAGGGAATTATGGTATCTCCAGACATTTTGAAGTGTTCGCTAGTCATTGCCATGCTATCAGCTGCTTTGTTGTTATTTAGTTTGGATATGGCTTTCTTGATATCGGATTCTGAGGCCGGTGTTATTCCAGCTGGTTCCTGCTCACTGAGTATGTGTATAAGGTTTGTTGTTTTATCAGCAATCTCTTTGTGGTCCTCCTTGAACAGTATATTTTCCGAAGGGGTTGCCAGTCGTGAAAAGTGCTTGTTCCAGCAAAGAAGGCCCTCATCTGGTGTTGTATAGATTACTCCGTCCAATATAAGTGTTTTTGGTCCAGTAGCTGAAGTCTTTATCTGTGATTTTACCAATTTACAAAATAGTTTCTGGTCCCGATAGGAGGTTATTATATGATTGGTCCATTCATCTCTCATCTTGGCTGATTGTTGCCTCTGTAGTCTCTGCAGGGTCTTTTTTCTGTTCTTCATATCCCGGTACAGTAAGTTGGCTACATGGCGAGGTTTTCCAGCTATTTTCCATTTCCACATTGCTTGCTTACTGAGTTTTGCTGCATGCTGTATCTCATCACTCCATGGTGCTTTCTTTTTTTCTCTTTAGTTGTATGATAGGTTTGTAGTTGGGTATACTGCTTGACGTGGCGTCTGATAAAGTGCCTGTTAGATGCTAAATTGCCGATATGGTTTCAAATTCATTAGCTGGTGTTTTTAGGTGATCCAGGTTATTTTCAATATATATGTGGTAACTATACGGGTCGCATTTGCTCCAGTTTGGTTTGTTGTTGATTGTTGTGGTTTTGTCTGTTGATCTTGTCTGTAGATCTAATTCTAGGATTACCGGGATATGGTCTAAGTAGTTGGTTGGGTTTTCCTCAAGGATTGTGCATTTTGACACTATACTCTCACCTTTCTTATTGAAGAGGACATAGTCAATTTCAGCAGTGTCCTTAGTATTTACATGGAAAAAGGTGTCAGGTCCGCATTGTGCTGTTTTTAGATCCAGGTCCTTACAGAATTTATACAATAATTTGTCTCTGGAGTTGTTGGGGCGTAGTCTGAGTGAGGCATTCATATCCCCGCAGATGAAAATGGCATGATTATCAAACTTTTGTATAACTTCCTCAATCTCATCTAATGTCTCTTGGTAGGCTGTCTCGAAGAGTCTCCCTCTACAAGGCATGTATACATTGATGATACAGACTGGGGGATTTGTATCTAGTTCTAAAACACTGATATGCCGTCAGTGTGGTGGGTGTAATTCACATCCATATCCTTTCTGTGCAGGGTTGAGACTCCACCATAGCCCCTTGGAACTTGGAGAGGGGATATAGGATCTTTGGAATCAGCAAACTTGGAGTGTGGATGGTGGGTGTCTGTGCTAAGGAGTTGATGTTGGAATTCAAAGAGCCAGTGTTCTTGTATACAAAGTACATCTGTGGTCTGTAGAAGTTGTTCCAGATACAAGCTGTTCGACTGGATATTTTTTTTATTGAAGGTGCCTATATTGATTGATTTCCTTCCTTCCGCCAGTGTCTGTTTGCTGCACGGCCATGCCGTAAAAAAACCTGCCCTGTAGTATTGGATTCATGGCTGTTTTTTGTTGACGCCGGTTCATTCAGAGGGTCGTTGACAGCCTTGGCTGTGATGCTGCTCGTATCAGGGTCCGGCATATGGACATGTAACGGTGGTGGCTCAGTCGTGGCAAGTTTTGCTGCGGAATTTTCATCTGCAAATTTGACCTTTTTAGGAGTTGAGTGTGGCGTCAGGTGATGTAATAATGACGGTGTGGTATTCCTCTTTGTATCTACA